GCCCAGGTTTCCTTAGGAAGAGAGCTGTTTGACAAAGAGAAGATGCCAGAAGATTCTGTTCCTTCAGAGGAGACATCTTTGCCGTCTCTCAAGACAGGAAGAGAAGAGAAGTACATGTGATGCTTTTGAGTATTTACTGCTAAAACCGCTAAAAAACTAAAAAAGCGCTAAAACTGCTAAAAAAAAAAGCGCTTGTGGTCTTACTAGTGACATCAGAACAGGCTCAGTTTTATATTGCAAGGGAGGGCTGAACACTTATTGATGTTTCAGATCCATCAGGACTTGCAGGCAAATTGAGACTCTTGACAGACGACCTTGAAACAAAGGTGTGCAATGTGATATTTCTCTGCCACCACAAAGAAAAGACAGTTTTGACAGCTGAGAAATGGTGACTAGATCTTGAAGTCATTTTTTTTCCTCTTAAAGGAATTTGAAATATAAAACTTGGGACAGAGGTCACATCTTGGTTAGGATCCTCAAGAGTTTAAGGTAATATTAAGACTGCACAAACAAAGACTTCTAATCATTAAGTTTCCGAGGTAAAACAAGTGATATGATTCAGTGGGAATTAAATTTAGAGCATAGTTTAACAATGCCTCAGAACTTCACAAGAACAGATATTTATTCAGTTGGACCTTTATTGCCATATATAATATTGATGGAAAAATATAGGTTAACATGAAAACTCTTTGATGTAAACGCATGATAACAGTAGCACAGTTATTTCTCCAGCTAATTCTCTTTGGGGCAATAAATATGACACAAATTAAACAATGGTGCATTTTATTAGCACATTCAAGACTTTTTATAATCTGGATTATTTTTTCAGGCCTTGTGAAACCGTTTTAAAAGAATGAAAATCACTTTTCACATTAATGATTGATTTTATAGCTAGTGGATAATCAATGACACAAGATTATTTTTCTGAAAACCTAGAAATAAAGCAGGAAGTAAAACTGAAGGGAAACAAAATAGTGAAATTCTAGGATCTATCACTCTCACCAAGATACAAAACATTTTACAAGAATCAAGTTACCAGCAGTAATGTTACTCTTATTCTCATTTACCAAATATGACTGTTAACGCTGGAGACTTTTTCAGTTTCTTTCTAACCTAAGTCTATGAAATATAAATGAAGAAAAATATCTTAAAATTATTTATTATCTTATTGAAGAGAAGCTTTTGCTGACACTATTTCTAAAATGGACACCCTTTTTGCAGCATAAGCTATATTTCTGAATTTTTTACCTTATGATGTGTAAACATAACAGACTTAGTGAAAAGACAGAATACAAAATGGGAACTCATATTTTAAGGTATGCTCTCTTTTATATTTTCCTTCAATCACATAGCTGATATGAGGCCATAATGTTTCCCTAACCAATGAAAACAGAGATGGAAGGATTTTCAAAAAAGTGTTCTCCCTGGAACTGATCAAAATGTATTAGTCTTTATTTCACTGTAATTATCCTCAATAAATACCTTTGTGTTTGGTCTAGAAGTTGTTTTTTTTTTTTTTTTTAATTTCTTTATCTCCCAGGTACTCTCTCTTAATTGCTTCTGCAAAGAATGTGAATATCGTCATGACAACTAAGAGGAAATTTTGCCACCAGAAGTTATTCAGAATACAATGAAATACTGTCAGGCCTTCCAGTGTTGGCTGAAACTATAAAAATGTGCTCTGTGCCTGCCACCTCAATCAAGATCAAAGTATTTTTGACTAATTTGTCTGCTTACATAAGAAAAGAAATGTTTGCTTTTATTTTTTGTGTGGGCTTAGTTGAATACATTTTATAGTAGTGGTACATTGAAAGAAAGAATGCTTAAAAGCTAATTATTTTTCATGGATGGGGAAAGTAGTGATTATTCAGTGGGAGAAGCATGTAGCCCATTTTAAAGAACATGTAGCTTCAAAAAGGTACACCAAATTAAACACAAATGGGCAAGGCTAAGAACTATAGGGTCTGGGCTTGTACTTCGGGGTGACAGAACTGTGAAGTAAAGCATGCAGGGGGTAATTATGAAGTTAGTGGTTGCTTTTGAGGGACAGGACCGCTGATGTTGGGACAACTCGTGTGGAGAGGGTTTTCTGGTGACCCGTGTTGGGGTCACAAGGGTGTTAGCCTCATAATAACTCATTAAGCTGTACCCATTTATTTAGTTTCCTGTATGTGTTTCATTTTACAATAAGTAGTTAAAAAATTTTAAGAATATATAGCTTTAGGTTAGGAGCATAACTGTGTAAACTATAATCTGGGGCATAGTTTCTTGGACTTTAAGCAATGCCTTTCCCTTTATTTGTCTCAATATTGTACAGAAAGGCTTAGGGGCCAAAGAGACAGATCAAGAAGAAATGCCAGCAAGCAGGAAAAAACCAAATACTTGAAAATAAAATTTTACTTTAAAATTGTCTTTAAATACTTACTGTTCAGGGTAATAATGGTATTTTCCAACAGGCTACATGCTGAAGTATTTATAAACACAATAATATCTGAGAGTTGGCTCAGAAATAATCCAGTGGAGGGTGAGAGATGCGGATGGCAAGAGTTACGGGTGAAACCAGGTGCCCATATGCTGATGACTGTCGAAGCTGTGTGACTGGTATATGGGGGGTCATTATACAACACTGTCTACTTTTGTGTATGTTTGAACACTTTCATAACAAAAAAGTCTCACAAGTAAAACATATTCTAAAGTAAAAAAGAATACACATATTTTATGAAATGCCTTATGATACTGTAGTCTTTATGAGCTTTGTAGCATTCCAATCAATATACATACCTGAATATGACTATTTGTAAAAATTCTAACAGAACTATCTTAGAGATGAGCCCTTCATTTGGGACTAGTTCAATTACAAATTAATAGCTTAAAATAATTACAAGCACAAGGTCTTGTGACTGAAATAAGACAAACCTAGGCATGTGAGCAAGCGGGGCGTGTGCTGCTCTGGCCTTCGCGGATCTCTCTCTCTAACTCACAGTGAGGGAAGGGAGTGGGGGGGACCGGAGCAAAGTGGACTCCGAACAGTCACAGTGGAGCAGAAAACTGAATTTGTTCCTTACACAACTCGGGAAAAAGCGCTAGAGGACAACGGTGGTTTCTAAGGAAGCAACGGAATTCTTTTTTTTTTCCTCAGAGATACCATACCTGTTCTCTGGAAAGTAGTTTGTTTTCTCTTACACACTGCCATTTATTTAAAGTGTTAAAGCTATAAATAAATTTGTTATAACTTACAATCTCATATTCTCCCCATGACAATTTTATTCATTCTTAAGCTAACAACTTATCAGTGTAAGAAAAAAGTATCTTCTCCTGGATCAAAACAGTGCTCATAATAAGCTTCTTTAGCTGCCTTCCTACTCACTGCCATCTTCTCTAAGATCAGTGTCCTCCAAAAGACAGAAAAACAGTTCACTCAGACCATCTCTTAAACAGGAAACTTTTCAGATGAAAAAGCCCTTTACTTAAAGTATCTTTACCAAATGTCTAAGAAACATACAAGTCCCAGAAAACAAACGAAAAAACCTACTCTTTTTATTTGGAAATAATTTCAACGTATACAAAGATACAAGAATACTACAGAAGAAACCCAACACTCACTTCACTCAGATTCATCTACTGTTACTGTTTTACTCCAGTGCTATCTTTGCTTCCTTTCTATCTGTCCTTCTATCCATCCATCCATACATCTTGTGTATATACATATATATGTATGGATGTGTGTGTATATATATATAATATTTTCATCATCAACTTGAGGGTAACATGTAACCATCACCTTCTTTATCCCTAAATACTTTAGCATATTAATATGTTTCACAATATTAGGGACATTCTTTTATATAAATAACCACAATAGTTTCCAACTTCAGTAAATATACAATGAAACAACATTTAAACAAATTTACCATCCACTTATCAATTTTACCTATTAACAAAATAAAATCTTCATAGCATTTTTTTTCCCTCCAGCATGGGATCCAGTACAGAAACAAACATTGCATATGTATCAGCCTTTCAATGGAATGTTGAAACAGGCTTTGTCTTTCATGTTATTGATTTTTTTGAAGTATATAAGAATATACAACAATATCTCTAATTTAGGGTTATCTGATATTTCCTCTGATTTGATTCAGGTTATACATTATTGACCAGAATATCACATAAGCAATGTTGTGCCCTTTTCAATGTATTGTATCTAGAAGGGTATGATGTCTATTTGCCTTGGTGATGTTAATTTTGATTATGTGGAAAAGGTATACTATTTGTTTACTAGAGAGTCATTATTTTTTACCTTGTAACTATTAAGCAACCTATGAGGATTTCTTGAAGACCATGCAAATATCCTGCTCCCCCTCAAAACTACCCCTCATTCAGCATCTATTGGTGACTCTATCCTGGGACAATCTTTGGGACTAAAATTGAGCCAGCTTCAGTTCCCCTCCATGTTTGCCACTCTATGCTCAGCGCTCTACTATAAGCAAGAGCCCTCCTTATCCCCTGTCGATTTATCCACCTACTGTCAGTATGAACGCATGTATTGCTGTCTTGTGATTGATCTATAATTCCTCACTGTACTCAGTTATGCTGGCACTAACATTGCATCCCCTTCGGCTGGTGGCACCACCTTCAGCCTGACCTGCTGTTTTTAAAATCGCTCCCCTTGCTTCTGGCACAACAGAATATTGCAGGCTCATCTCGCCCCTGCTCTGCTCTGTCCTGTAAACAGCTGTCTAAGAAGCCCTTGGTCCTTACATTAGGGGTGCTACTGATGCGAACTTTCCCCCACTTCAGTGTAGCTATGGCGTACGTTTGAAACACAATTATTTGTTTACGGCAGGTGGTTTTCCATTGCAGTCTTTTCCCGCTTTTCATCTTGGTGAGATAATTTTATTTCCAATTGGTGGAACACTAATATGCTTCCAAAAGTCGGAACTATGCTAAAAGGTATAAAGAGAGACGTGGAACTCCTTTCATCTCTCTCCTACCCTACTTACTGTCCCCGTTGTAAGGAACCAGGTTCACTGTTCTCTGGCTCATCCTTCTGCTTTAGTTGGGAGAGCTGCGATAACAAGACACCACGGGCTGTTTGGCTTCAGTCACAGGAATTTCTCTCCTCGCAGTGCTGGAGGGTGGCAGTCCAAGGTCAAGGAGCCCGCGATGCTGCCTCCTCTGGGGCTGCCAGGCTTGGCTGCATTTGCCGCTTCTTTGTTCGGACAGCTGGGGCGCCTGGAGTCTCTGCGTGTGCTAACACCCTCCTCTGAGGACGCGTCAGACTCGGTTATTCGCTGTTGCTGTTTAGTCGCTAACTCGTATCTGACTCTTTGTGACCCAGTGCACCGTAGCCCGCCAGGCTCCTCCATCCATGGGATTCTCCAGGCAAGAATATTGGAGTGGGTTGCCATTTCCTTTTCCAGGGGATCTTCCTGACCCAGGATCACAGCTGCATCTCCTGCATTGGCAGGCAGATTCTTTACCACTGAGCCACTGGGGAATGCTGGTACTTGACATCAACCCTAAGAAAGTATTCTTTACATCAACCCTAAGGAATTCTTACATCTTACAACAAATGACAAGAATGTCAGCAACACACAAAGGGAGTCTCACAACTCCAAACCCGGGGCTGGAACCCAGGCTCCTGTTGCACAGGCACTTACTACACCCTAGTTTATAGCCCTTCATCCACCTGTCAGCCCGAGGGCCTTCCGACAGAGCCCTCAGAAAACACAGCTTTCACCAACCTTGCAAGTTCTTCTCTGCTCAAATGCTTACCCCACTTTATTTCTCATGTCTCAGAGGGGACACACTCCCTCAGTACCCTCGCCGTTACCCGGCACTCCGGGTGGTCAGCAGTCGCTGGGAACCAGATGTCCATCCCCTTCAGTAACGGCCTGGAATGAGCCTTTGCCAAAAGCTTGCTGCTGCTCTATCTGAGTGCAGCACCAGCCCAGAACTCCCCCCAAAGGAGCAAAGCTTGGGTGACGGGCTTTGATTTTTTGGTCTCACCACATTGTGATGGATATTATAAACAGTGCATTTCTACTAATCTAAAAAACAATAGTATTTGTTCTTAATCAGACGGTTCAGCTCTGATGGTTATTCTGCAAGCCATGTGATATTAGAATTTTTGATAGTGAAGTGCTCAGTCTGGAGTGGTGTGCAGGTCCTTTGATTTTACGTCAAGCTGTGTACCAAAAACATTTTCCCCACCAAAGCACCGCCATTATCTGAGTGGATTTATAAACCCACGCTGGGCTAGGGTCCACCCTGGTGGTCTCATTGTAACTCAGGTACCTCCTTACAGGTCTTATCTCCAAGTGCCGTTACCTTCTGAGATGCTGGGGGCTAGTACTGCAGCACATGGCTTTAAGGTGACACAATTCAATCACTAATTCATCCCTGTGCTTATTCTGTGGAGACAAGTAGACACATAAACACTTTCTTATTTCCCTTGTTTTCTACACAAATGGTAGCACAGCATTTATATTTCTTTGCACTTTTCTGGCTTATTTTTATTTCAGAGGCATTTTGCTAAATATAGTTTTGAATTTTAGTACCCCTGCAGAAGGGAATGGTCACCCACCCCAGTATTCTTGCCTGGAGAACTCCATGGACAGAGAAGCCTGGTGGGCTACAGTCCATGGGGTCACAAAGAGTTAGGCACGACCGAGTGACTAACACACACACCCAGACACACATCCGTTATGTACCATCTGCTGCGTATATCCAATAGACTTTCAAGAGTCAAGAATTTTTACCGTGAGTAATGACTGTATGGGTCTTAGCCTCATAGAAATTATGTTTGGACTAGACACCGAGGAGTCATTTTGTATTTCTGGCTTACCAAGGGGTCCTGAAATATAGTAATTTCTAGGTATAGTGACTTAATCCATTGAGGTGGATATGAAATAATTAAATAGCAAAAACTCACATGACTAGCTAGGAGGTATTTGATGTGTGAGATAAAAAAAATAACTCCTGACCAGAATAAGAGTTTTTTTTTTCAAGTATGAATGAATGTTTTCTCCAAAAAGGCAGGGTGGTCTGAATAATCCTTCCCACTATCACAGCAAGCAAAGAGAGAAAACATAGACATATAAAAGATATCTCTCAAGTGCCTCTCTTTCAATCCCAATAGCTAAAAGCAATTGCACTGTAGATTATGTTGTTGTTCTTTAGTTGCTAAATCCTGTCCGACTCTTTGTGACCCCGTGGACTGCAGCATGCCAGGCTCCTCAGACCTCCACTATCTCCCAGAGTTTGCTCAAATTCATGTCCACTGAGTCAGTGCTGTTATCTAAGCATCTCATCCTCTGTCGTCCCCTTCTCCTCCCGCCTTCAATCTTTCCCCAGCATCAGGGTCTTTCCCAATGAGTCAGCTCTTCACATCAGGATATTCAGCTTCAGCATCAATCCTTCCAGTGAATCTTCAGGGTTAATTTCCTTTAGGGCTACAGTCCATGGGGTTGCAGGAGTCAGACAGGACTTAGTGACTAAATCAACATTTGCTACAAAGTGATAGAACCAGATGCCATGATCTTGGTTTTTTGAATCTTAAGTTTTAAGCCAGCTTTTCCCCTCTCCTCTTTCACTTTCATCAAGAGGCTCATTAGTTCCTCTTAGCTTTCTGCCATTCGAATGGTATCATCTGAGTATCTGGGGTTGTTGATATTTCTCCCCAGCAACCTGGATTCCAGCTTGTGCTTCATCCAGCCCAGCATTTACTCTGACACACCGCACAGAAGCTAAATAAACAGGGTGAAAATATACAGCCTGGATGTCCTCCTTTACCAGTCGGGAATCAGGCTGTTCTGGTTGTTCCGCGTCCGGTACTAGCTGCTGCCTCCTGACCTGCATACAGGTCTCTCAGGAGGCAGGGAAGGTGGTCTGGTATTCCCATCTCTTGAAGAATTTTCCACAGATTATGGTGATCCACACAGTCAGAGGCTTCAGCGTAGTCCATGAGGCAGACGTAGATCTTCTTCTGGAGCTCTCTTGCTTTTGCTATGAGCCAGCAGATGTCGGCAATTTGATCTCTGGTTCTTCTGCTTTTTGTTAATCCAGCTTGAACATCTGAGAATTCTTGGTTTCCATATGGTTGAAGCCTAGCTTCAAGGATTTTGAGCATTACTTTACTAGCGTGTGAGATGAGTGCAACTGTGCATTAGTTTGAGCATTCTTTGCCATTGCCTTTCTTTGGGACTGGAATGAAAACTGACCTTCTCCAGTCCTGGGGCCACTGCTGAGTTTCCAAATTTGCTGTCATATGGACTGTAGCATTTAAACAGCATCATCTTTGAGGATTTGAAATAGCTCAACTGGAATTTCGTCACCTCCACTAGCTTTGTTCACGGTGATGCTTCCTAAGGCCCACTGGACTTCACATTCCAGGACGTCTGGCTCTAGGTGACTGATCACACCATTGTGATTATCTGGGTCGTGAAGATCTCTTTTGTACAGTTCTTCTGTGTATTCTTGCCACCTCTTCTTAATATCATCTGCTTCTGTTAGGTCCATACCATTTCTGTCCTTTATTGTGCCTATCTTTGCATGAAATGTTCCCCTAGTATTTCCAATTTTCTTGAAGGGATCTCTAGTCTTCCCCATTCTATTGCTTTCCTCTATTTGTTGCATTGTTCACTTAAGAAGGCTTTCTTATTTCTCCTTGCTATTCTTTTCTCTGGAAATCTGCATTCAGTTGGATATATCTTTCCCTTTTATCCTTTGCCTTTAGTTTCTCTTCTTCTCTCAGCTATTTGTAAGGTCTCCTCAGACAACCATTCTGCCGTTTTGCATTTCTTTTTCTTGGGTATGATTTTGGTCACTGCCTCCTGTACAATGTTACAAACTTCTGTCCATTGTTCCTCATATATTCTGTCTACCAGATCTAATCCCTTGAATCTATTTGCCACCTTCACTGTAAATCATAAGAGGTTTGATTTAGGCCATACCTGAATGGTCTAGTGGTTTTCCCTGCTTTCTTCAATTTACATCTGAATCTGGCAATAAGGAGTTCATGATCTGGGTCACAGTCAGCTGTAGGTGTTGTTTTTGCTGACTGTATAGAGCTTCTCCATCTTTGGCTGCAAAGAATGTAATCAATCTGATTTTGGTATTGATCATCTGGTGATGTCCACATGTAGAGTCTTCTCTTCTGTTGTTGGAAGAGGGTGTTTGCTATGACCAGTGTGTTCTCTTAGCAGAGCATTGTTAGCCTTTGCCCTGCTTCATTCTGTACCCCAAGGCCACACTTGGCTATTACTGAAGGTGTCTCTTGACTTCTTACTTTTGCACTCTAATCCCGTACGATGATAAGTGCGCCTTTGTCGGGGTTATATCTAGAAGCAGATGAGGCTCGGTCTGTACTGCAGCAAGCTAGGGACTTTGGTGGCTAATGCAATAGGCACAAACTCGCTCAAGACTCCACAGCTGAAGCCTGAACACACTTTACTGAAACAGAGACCGAAATTCTCTGCAGAAATTGTCTAACTGTGAAACGTTTGCACAGGTTTTGGAATCAGACATCTACATTTTTGTCAAGTGTCTCGTGCCATCCTGCCAAATCACTCTTTCATGTTTGAAGAATCTGCCACTGTATGTATAGGTCAAGTGGAAGTCAGGATCTAGATTCCCATGACAGAAGAAAAAACAAAGAAGCTGGTATACTGTTACTGACTGAATTGTGTGCCTACAGAATTCATGTGCTGACATCCTAACTCCAGTGTAACTGTATCTGGAGATATGGTCTTTAGGAGGTCATTAGGGTTAAATGAAATCACAGGGGTCGGGCTCTAATTTAATGAGACTAGTGGCCCTATAAGAGGAGAAGGAAAGAGAGTGGCAGGGGAGGGAGAAGGAGAAGGAGAAATCTCCGCCCGCACACAGAGGAAAGGTCATGTAAGGGTGCTCTGCGTTTCAGGCCATCTGTTAGCCACAGAGAGGGCACTCACAGAAGCTGACGTGGCCAAGTCTCGGCTGTTGACTCACAGTTTCCGAACGAACAGTAGCAGACTTCTGTTTTCTGTTGTTTAAGGCACCCAGCCTGAGGTAGTTTGTTACGCAGCTGAGCTGACTGATACACTTGCCCAGGCCCAAGCAGATGCTTTCCTTCCTTAGATGCTCTCCATCTGGAGCCAAGAATCCAGAAAAACTTCAGATGCAGACAGCTTATGTCGAGGGTGACAGCAGGGGTTACTGAATCCTAATCAGACCCTTTACCCTTCCTTTAGCATTAAAAAATCATTACATGTATTACATAAACACGACTTCACATAAGTGCCGAAATATAATTATACACGTATGGTGTATCTTTTTAGGTTTTTTTCTTTGCCTTTTCTGCTTGATTCCATCAACTCTCATTCAACACACCCTCCCAGCGTTTCCCTGCCTCAGCCAGTCACTTCTGGTATAAGCACTTTTCTGCAACTTGCTTTTCTCATTTAGCAATTGCTCATGAAAATCTATCCATGGTACCAGGGAGAGCATTATTCATTTAATTAGTGGCTGCATTATATTCAATTAATTCCATTGTAATTTATTCAGGCATTCTCCCTGATGGCCATTCGCTGTCTCCATATCTTTTTCTATTATGAACAAGTGGCATGACTTGGGCTGAGCTTGAATACCTAGCCTCCCCTTTGATGCTCTGCTTAGTTCTGAGCCTATTTCTCTGCATAATATTATACTTTTATGAAAGGGGACACACACACACACACACGTAAAATTTTTGGAAAGATACACACAGATGTTGCGAGGTCTTTGACATTCTTTCAGTGAACTACCCTTTTACTTTATGTTAACCAGAATCAGAATCTGTGTTTGCAACCCAGAACCCTAAGTGGCACACCAGGGCTCCCATCTTAGCTTCTACAGTTTTTAACTGGGTGTCCTGTCTGAGCCCACACTTCCTGGTGGAATTATAAGAAATTGGGAGCTACATACAATGTGGTTGGCTCAGTGCCTGACATATGCTAGGCTCCCAATATGTGGTGACAAGAGGCATCATCAATAACAGCAGTTACTGATAACAGCTAGAGGCCTGGCTGGGGACCAATGGGAGACGTGAAAGAAGGGGAGCATCCAAATGGGACCTGGGTCCAGACGTCATCAGCCCTTGGTGAGAAAGATTGGGGTTACTTAAAGGATCACGTAGTGCTTGTATGCCTAGTTAACCATTTATGACTCCATATTTCCATTCCCCAGTGTGGACTCAGGCATTCTTATTTTGCCCCTTCCGCTGTCATCACAAAATTTCACTTTACAAGAATCCCTTGTGATGTTAACATGGATACTGAAAGGAGAGAAGTATTAGATGCATCTGAGAACAAGCATTGGCCCAGAACAGGTAAAGCAAGAGATAGCTCCTCCCACCCCAAAGCCTACCCTTTCCAAGTGCCACATTTAAAGTACCATTTGATGCACTCCAAAAATGTATATATCCCTTTGAGTTTGCCTTTACCACGTAAGGGTATGGTCACAGCAGTTATTCCAATGAAAGGAGTGTCTACATTTAGATGTCGATATTTTAAGTGGGTCATGAAATTGAATTTCCTTTCAGTAGTGAGCATCTGTTGACAGGGATGGCAGAACTTTGAGTGAGTGTAGTTAGGAAGGAGGGAAGAAGCCTTCTGTCTTTCAGATGCATATTCATGGGGAGACTCATAAAGCTCTTTGAGAAAAGTTTCATTTATATATTTGATTCTTGATAATTAAAGCAACTGACGGAAAGGGAACCATTAGCTTCACAGTTTTGTTGTTAACTTAGTACTGTTAACACATGGCAACTAATGTGTTTACCATATTGTTCAGCATTTATTTTCTGTTTGTTTTTAGAATTATGAGATAAATTTATTTCCACTGAAAATTATCTACCTCACTTTTTTGACCAGATGATTTCCCTTTATTAAGTTTTCAGTTTTTTCTTTGATATAGTTGATATTTGCCATTAACTGTCTTGACAATTTTTTAGTAAATTTTTCTCAGTTTTTAACTAGTTTACCTATGGTAATTAATTCATGCTCATAGCTAAAACTTTAAACAATATGAATATATGTACTCTGAAAAGCACAAATATACCTCTCACCACACTTTATCTCCTAGAGGTAGTCACTGTTCACAATCTCTTGTGTATCTTTCCAGAAATAATTATATTTAGATATGTATTTTCCCTTTAAAAAGGTATATATATGACCCAGTATATAACTATAATTATTTTTTACTTAATAGTTATCTTGAATACTTTTCTATATCTTGAGTATCTACATCTTATCTATCCATGCTAATTATGAGATTTCTGTAAAATATTTAAATACATGTATATTTGTATACATGTTATTTTAATAGCTGATCAATACTGCATTGCACTGGATGTACTATAATTTTCAGTTTTCAATTTATCAACATTTAAGATATTTAGAAGTTCTTTGATAGATTACTGTTTTATTGAAGTATATTTGACTTAAAGTGTTAGTTTCTGGTGCACCATAGAGCAGTTCATATATATATATCTATATAAAATCTTCAGTATTATATATATATTCAATTATATATAATTCAGCTACATATAATCTTTTCAGATTCTTTTCCATTATAGTTTATTGTAAGTATTGAATATAATGCCCTGTGCCATACAATAGGACCTTGTGTCTTTGTATGTAGTAGCTTATATCTACTAATCCAAAACACTTAATTCATCCCTCCCTGACCTTTCCTCTTCTGTAACAATGAGTTTGTTTTCTATGTCTATGAGTCTATTTATGTTTTGTAAACAAGTTCATTTGTATCATTTTTAGATTTCACAAATGAGAGATATCATATTTGTCTTTCTCTGTCTGACTTAACTTTATTTAGTATGATATTCTCCAGGTCTATTCATGTTGCTACAAATGGCATTATTTCATTCTTTATTTCTGAGTAACAGACATCTTCTTTATCCATTCATCTGTTGATAGACATTTAGATTGCTTCCATATCTTGGCTATTGTAAACAGTGTTGCTTTGAACACTGGAATGCATGTATCTTTTCAAATTAATTTTCTCCAGATATATGCCCAGGAGTGGGATTGCTAGATCATATGGTAACTCTATTTTTATGTTTTTTAAGTTTTAAAAATATTTTTATTTTTTTGAGGAAACCCCATACTATTTTCCATAGTGGCTACACCAACTTATATTCCCACCAACAGTGTAGGAAGGGTTGCCTTTTCTCTACACTCTCTCTACCATTTATTTTGTGCAGACTTTTTGATGACGGCCATTCTGACTGCTGTGAGGTGGTACCTCACTGTCATTTTGATTTGCATTTCTCTAATGCTGAGCATCTTTTCATGCATCTATTGGCCATCTGCAGACCTTTGAAGGAATGTCTACTTAGGTCTCCTGTCCACTTTTTGACTGGGTTTGTTTTTTGTTATTGAGTTGTACAGGCTGTTCGTATATTTTGGAAATTAAGCCCCTGTTGGTCGCATTGTTTGCAAATATATTCTTCTAGTCTGTAGGTTTCCTTTTCATTTTGTTTATTGTTTCTTTTGCTACGTAAAAGCTTATAAGTTTGATTAGATTCCATTTGCTTATTTTTTTTCAACTGCCTTGGGAGATGGACCTAAGAAAACACTCCTGCAACATATGTCAGAGAATGTTCTGCCAGCATTCTCTTCTATGGCATCACGTCTTAGTTAAGTCTTTTAGCCACTTGAGTTTGTTTTTGTGTATGATATGAGGGAGTGTTCCAACTTCATCAATTTATATGTGGCTGTCCAGCTTTCCCAACACCACTTACTAACAATATTTATCTTTTCTTTGTTGTATATTCTTGCCTCCTTTGTCAAAGATTAATTGATATTAGGTATGTGGATTTATTTCTGGGCCATCTATTCTGTACCATTGATCCATAAGTCTGATTTTGTGCCAACATCATGCTGCTTTGATTACTGTAGCTTTGTAATCTTGTCTGAAGTCTCAGAGGGTTATGCCTCCAGGGTTGTTCTTTTTCCTCAGGATTGGTTTGATGGTTCTGGGTCTTTCGTGGATCCATATAAGTTTTACAATCATTTGTTCTAACTCTGTGAAAAATGTCATGAATAATTTGATAGGGATCATATTAAATTCATAGATTTATTTGAGAGTATGGCTATTTTAATAATATTAATTCTTCCAATCCAAAGAATGGGATATGCTAGGTTACTTTAAATAAAATGATGGATATCAATTAAACTGTCTATCCTGTAATTGAGTAATGGCCATCAATTGACCAGAGGAAAGACTTGAAATTCACCAATAACAATTCATACTCTGCTTCTCTAGCAGTGCTCAACAAACGAGTTAACTAAAACAACAGCCTTCCCAGCATCACTACTCTTGTCAGTAAAGCGTATTTATGCTTTAATTTCTAGATGAGAGTTTGCTAGGAAGATTGATTATTTTGATGGCCAATTAGATAATTTTATTTTTGATGACAATGAATGCTTACCAGAAAGGCCATGAATCAGTAAGATCTCAGCTTGGACTGTGTACATTGCATAACTGTCTGTGTGATTCCCATACGAAATGCAATAATAGCAGCGAGATAATTCAAAGTGAAAAAGAGGATTCAAAAAATCTCCTACAAAATGCTCCAAATGCCTCCCACTTATCTGATTTATTTTTGTAGAGTTTTTGGGTTTTGTTGCTTTTGAGTGTTATACAATTTTTTTAAATGGAAATTGACTTCTTACCTTTCTGTGAATGGATAGATTTCTCATTTTTGGTTGGCATTCCCTTATTTTGTGGTACCTACTAGCATAAAATAGTGAATATGAACAATTTTATCTTTAAGTTTTCATCTCTTTCATTTTCTTAATGGTGTCAGTCTCATAAATAGTCTCTTTTCATACTTTTATTGACTGCTTTTATTTATTTCTTAAGTCGTCACTATTGCAGATACCCCACGATACATGTGTTACATGAACTTATTTTCTCCTTTTCTGTTACATAAATAATCCCCAATGCAGAACATTCCTGTGCCTCTTAGAATGGGCTCAGCTGTCACACATCGATGGATCAGGCACTCTCCAGCCGCTTCTCTATTTTACTACCGGCTCTGAAACACACATTATCTTCCGCTTCTTGGCTCTTCCTCCATTCCTCTGTG